TTTCAGGTAAAACGGTTGAAACAAACATAAATTAAAATTGAACGGCCAATCTGAAAATAACAAAAAAAAGGGGGGGTTTCATTTAAAAAACCAGGTAACTACCACACGTTTATGATGCACCCTGTATATTGGAAAGTAATTTTAGAATGTGGACCTTTTAAACGTGAAAAACTTTCGTTTGACGAATTTTCTTGTAAACTTCATATTTACTGAGATATCGCACTTTGACGCACTAATGAGCAACCCTGTATACTAAAAAGAATTAAAATAGCAACTGGAGCTGGATTAGAAGTTACGAATTTTTATTGAAGAGCTTGCAGTGACGTGAAAAAGTTTATTTTCTGATCAACAGTTGCAAAGACCGCAAAAAATAGTGACTGCGTGATTTAAATGAAATGTCGAGAAGTTTTAGAGTGAAACGTCTTTCATTTGCTAGAAAATTTTCAAGTCGCAACTTGGGCTAGATTAGAAGCTACGAATTTTTATTCATAAACCTGCAGTTGCGTGAAAACTCTAATTTTTGGACCGATATTTCCAAAATAATGCAAAAAACAGTACGGCGCGATTTGACTGGTAAATTGAGGGCTTTTAGAGTGAAATGTCTTTTATATACTAGAAAAAATTAAAATAGCAACTTGAGCTGGATTAGAAGTTACGAATTTTTATCGAAGAGCTTGCAGTGACGTGAAAAAGTTTATTTTCTGATCAACAGTTGCAAAGACCGCAAAAAATAGTGACGGCGCGATTTAAATGAAATGTTGAGAGGTTTTATAGTGAAATGTCTTTTAAATGTTAGAAAAATGTTAACCCCCAAATTTCACCGGATTAGAAGTTACACATTTTTATTAGAGATCCTGCAGTTGCGTAAAAACGTTGAGAGCTTCGTCTATTCTAAAAATCCTAAAATTACAAGTTACAACTTGCGAGTTTTTTGCATTTCCAAGGCATTTCAGATATTCAGAATCAAGCGACTTTTATGTCCTGGGCGAATTTTCATTCTCAACTTGCCCTGGATTAATTGATAATAATAATTATTATTATTATTGATGGCGCTGATTGCGAGTTGCGGAGAACACCACACAGCCAGATTAGTTACTGTCAAAATGTGAAAATTAACTGTCGTGATTTGACATAAGTCATGTTAGTTAGTTGGCGCTCATCACAATGTTTCTATGGAAACGTCGAAAACATCAGTGTCAAAATTCGCTAAGTGTGATTTGACATGAATTAAATGTCAAACATCAAAGTAGTTCCCCGAAAATAACATATTACTCATTCGAAATTGGGCGCTACTATGACAGCATCGAAAACAACAACTTAATTATTTGTTGTGATTATTGATGGTGGTCATTACGATTTCCGAAAGTAAAAATACCAGTTTGATAAGCCGGGTGCTGCATACCAGGAAATGTCACACATATTTTTAGAATCACTCGCATGCTTGCGACTAGACGTGTTTATTTACATTGGAACTGCAGCCGTCTATTATCTAAAATAAATTAATTACGACAGCGGTTGATTAAGAGAAAAAGAAAAAAAACGTTGTTTACGAAGAGTGACCTATCTGGGTACCACGAGCTAGCGATAGAATCCTTCTGATGCGCCTTCTGAGCGCCACAGTCCGCTTATCAGGCGACCGTTATCAGACAACCGCTTATATCTGAACTAAATTCTATTTTTGATTTGATGCAGGCATAAAAACCGAATGGGAACTATATAAATAGAACAAAGACATTCGTGGTTGATTAATGGGCTGTTTGGAAACATCAATTTTTAACGATTTGGGTTAGAGAAGAGGTCGCAGTTCGGATAATCCCCCATTTATCAATGAAAGCGTTAATCGGATGGATCGGATTCGGATGGGGCTTCCGAAAGTTGATTTGAATTAGAAAAAAAAATGTTTTGTCCGGTTTAATTTTAGAAAACCCCAGGCCAATATGTGCGTATGCGGTTAGGTGTTTCTTTGATGTTCTTTCTTTCACGACTATTTCGAGGCTCTAATGATTTACTAGTCAACAGTCTCCTGTTTTAGATTGATGTATATTTTGAGGAATATTTGAATTTTTCGCAAATTGTTGAAAGCGAAGCTGCTGTAAGCTACAGTTAAGATCATTTTTCTCCAAATTTTGAGCAAAAAATCTAATCTAGAATTGATTGAAACCTGCGAATTTTGACTGAATCTGTTTTTTAAATTCAGTCATGGATTCAGGCTGCCATTGCTCTTCCATGAGCAGTTAGGAGACTTCAACATTTCAACATTAAATTTTCTGAATTTTGAGTAAGGTTTTTCATGTTATGCAGACTTGTGCTTAGGTCCCGAGCTTAAACAATTAAGAAGCATCTTTTTTAGCAGTTTTCCGGCAAAAGTCTCCTCAATGAAATCTGCAAATGTTGACTGAATGGTAATTTTTGAAAATCTCCTGCATCGTTGAAATGGCTTTCAAGCTCAAAAATTCGTCGTGTATTCTTGTACTCTTTGGTTTTTGCGATTTCTCAGACAAAAGTGCAATCGTTTTCCTGCGTTTGGGTCATTTTTGCAGGGCTGTAAAAAACTGCTATTATCCTGAAACTAGAGCAGTTGAATGCTTTTTTTCCCCGTTTTTTTTTATCAAACATTCCTCAATTTCCTGAAAAACTTGAGTAGTAAGGAAATATTCTTTTAAGGTTGTTATAGCAAAACGCATCTAGTTTAACTAGAGATTTTTTCAAATTGTCGGCAAATTGTTGAAATTTAAACAAGCAGTGACAAAACACGGTTCTATGGAATGTCTCGCATTTCAAATTAACATTGTTGCCTGATTACGGCACTTATTAACTTGTTTTTCTTGAAGGTCCAATAGTTCACACATTCCATTTCTTTTCCTTAGTGTATTTACACTTTGCGGTTGTTGGCCGACACTTATCGATTTTTGTGGTGGGATACAGACATTAAGCCAGATAACACTAATTGTTGAGCTATTTATGTCTATGTTTATCTATCTATTTGGGATAGGTAGACAACGGGGAAGATTCATTTCGATTATCGCTTGAGGCCAATGGACGCTTTTCGAACTATTCTGCATCAAAGAAATATTTTATGTTGATGTTGTTCTTGTTGCGACCTGTTCCGCACAACGTTGGCATCAAATCGCACTTGAATTTCAAATTTCAATATAAAATTCAATATTTACTTCAGTATGTTGTCGGTTGAGAAATTGTGCCGAGTCAACAGGAACGACACTGGTTGCATAGAACCTGCCACTCTTGTATTAGATGGCTTCAGGTTGTACGAGTTCTTATCTTACTGGGTTGAACACGAACGAATCGTCACTGTATTCGCATTAAATCGTCTTTAATCTGCTGGTTCAGAAGTGTGCTGAGCCCTACGAGCACGACACTGATTGCAAGAAAACATGAAATTTTGTCCTAATCGTGCACCTAAGTGTCTGATTCAAATTTTCCTTTCTGGGTCAAAACTACTCGAATTTCCTCACTCAAGTTGTTACGACTGAGTATAATTTTCTATTCTCTATCCAGCGATGCCAAAACGAATTATGTGGCTCAAATGGTTCTTGAGAAACTTCGAAAAAAGCAGCGTCATGTTTGAATCGATTTTGCAACTTAAAAAAAACACTCAAATCTAAAACTTTTTGAAATCAAGATTTTTTTGAGAAAACTGCCAACATTTCCTTATCGATGCTTCACTGCCTAAATAGCCCATTTAGTTCTCTCGGGAATGATGCAAAATGAACGTTCGTGCTCATTTTACTTCCAAGAAATGAGCAAAAATGGGACGGAAAACATGACATTTTGGCCTAAACTTGCACCTAAGTGTCTAATATTCAAATTTTCCTTTCCGGGTCAAAACTATTCGATTTTTTTCACTCAAGTTGATACGACTGAGTCTAATTTTCTATTCTCTATCCAGCGATGCCAAAACGAATTCTGTGGCTGAAATGATTCTTGAGAAACTTCGAAAAAAGCAGCGTCATGTTTGAATCGATTTTGCAACTAAAAAAAACACTCAAATCTAAAACTTTTTGAAATCAAGTTTTTTTTGAGAAAACTGCCAACATTTCCTTATCGATGATTCACTGCCTAAAAAAGGCCATTTAGTTCCCTCGGGAATGATGTAAAATGAACGTTCGTGCTCATTTTGCTTCCGAGAAATGAGCAAAAATTGAACGGAAAACATGAAATTTTGGCCTAAACTTGCACCTAAGTGTCTGATATTCAAATTTCCCTTTCTGGGTCAAAACTACTCGATTTTATTCACTCAAGTTGTTACGACTGAGTCTAATTTTCTATTCTCTATCCAGCGATGCCAAAACGAATTCTGTGGCTCAAATGGTTCTTGAGAAACTTCGAAAAAAGCAGCGTCATGTTTGAATCGATTTTGCAACTAAAAAAAAAACACTCAAATCTAAAACTTTTTGAAATCAAAATTTTTTTGAGAAAACTGCCAACATTCCCTTATCGATGGTTCACTGCCTAAAAAGACCATTTAGTTCTCTCTGGAATGATGTAAAAATGAGCGTTTTTGCTCATTTTGCTTCTGGAAAATTTGCAAAAACGGGACGGAAAACATGAAATGTTGTCGTAATCGTGCACCTAAGTGTGTGATATTCAAATTTCCCTTTCTGGGTCAAAACTACTCGATTTTTTTCCAACGATGCCAAAACGAATTCTGTGGCTCAAATGGTTCTTGAGAAACTTCGAAAAAAGCAGCGTCTTGTTTGATCACTCAAATACTCAATTCTAAAACTTCTTGAAATCATGACTTTTTTGAGAAAACTGCCAACATTTCCTTATCGATGGTTCACATTCTAAAAAGGCCATTTAGTTCTCTCTGGAATGATGTAAAAATTAGCGTTCTTGCTCATTTTGCTACCGGAAAATGAGCAAAAACGGGACGGAAAACAAAAAATGTTGGCCTTTATTAGATATTAATGCGTCTTGGCCCCACTTTGGTACCAAATCGTCTCTAAGCTGTTGATTGAGAAAGTGTGCCGAGCCCTGGGAGCACAAGACTGATTGCAATTGAACATGACGCTCTCCTATTAGAATATTTCAGGTGGTTCTTCAGGAAAGAATCTGCAACACTTTCGCATCAAATCGATCAATTTTCTTTATTGTCTGCATTCGATGTTGGAAGTAAATGCTTGACTTGGCTCTGTTTTGCTCCAGGAATGGCAAAGAAATACTCGCGCCCCACGTGGAACCTGATCCGCAAAGTCTACGCACCCATTGACCGATGCGAGAAGAGCTTCATGAAGATGAAGAACATTTCCAATTTAGCCACGCAGGTAAGTGTAGCTTGAAGACGTGTGAAGTGAGTGGCTTATCAGAGGCTTTCCAGTTGGTGTTCTTCATGCTGTGCGATCGCGTTCTGTTGTGCAGCTTCGGCGGCCATCACTGTCCACAGAAGAAGGTCACCGGGCTCTACTCCTTGATGTTCTACAACGTCATCGCCTATTGCGTCAGCTACATCAAGGAGCTGATCGAGAAGGAAGATTGGTCGATCACGGTCAACATGACTCAACATAGCAATATCAAACACTTGGCCATGTCAGCTACGAAGATCGTCCTGGAGTGGACCAAAGCCGTCACGTTCATCATCACCGTCACGTTCATGCTCTTGGTGTTCGGTCTGGAGCAAGGGCTGGAACACTATCGTCCCACTGCCCTCTACACCTTCGTCACCTGGACGTACTACATGTGCACTGAGAAGGTGTTTGTGGATCTGTTCCTGCCCACTCTACTGCTACTGAAGATCAAGTCCCTGGAAGCGCTGGAACAGTTCTACGCGCCAGTTTTTCTCCGCTTCTACACAATTGGTTGGGCGGTGTTGATGGCGATCTGCTTGATGCTCTTGGGCCAGTTCCACTTCGCCTTCTTCGCCTTCTACATCACCGTCTACCTCAAAGTCAAAGACACCATCTTCAACTGTTTGAGGACGCTGAAACGTGAGCAGGCGATGTTGGGCCAGTTTCGTTGTGCCACTTTTGAGGAAATCGAAAATTGCGACGATGTTTGTGCCGTCTGCTTGTGCCCGATGGAACGCGCCCGAGTGACTCCCTGTCAGCACATGTTCCATGCCAGCTGTCTTCGGGAGTGTTTGAACAATTCCAATAACTGTCCCATCTGCAAGAGGGAGTACGTGTTTGTGCACTAGTTTTGGGGCGTTTCGTCCGCAACGGTCAAATCGAGCGAATTCGATCTTATTAGACTATAAAAACGACGCTGAGGTGAGCAAGCAAACCCAATGTGCAACAAACAAGCACACTAGTTAGAAAGTCTGGAAAATTTAAATTAGGGTCTGGTGAATTAGCGCCATATTCGAGTGTCTCAGTTTCAATCTGCGCAATTGTACGTACTTTCCTGACTGTGTTTCAATTCCAAAATTAAAATCAAATCCTGGGTTCTTCAGTCATTTATTGTTCATTTATCAATTTATAAATAACCAATAAATGATAAATGAACAATAAATGACTGAAGAACCCAGGATTTGATTTTAAATCTGCGCAATCTCAGCTGTTACCAGCGCCGATGTCAGCTAACCTGTTTCTTGTCAATGTCACGTCTGTGGACTTTAAACTGAAATTGTTGACATTAAGAAATCTGATTCCTGTCATTGTCAATGTCACTGAATGCTAAATTTGTTTTCCTGCTTAAAAAACATCTTCATGTGTTAGAGAAGTGTTTAGCAGGCGTCCAACTTCAATTTAAACGCCAAATTTACATCTGTACAACGCCGTATCAGTTGACACTTCTAATCCCTGATGTTAACTAATCTTTTTCCTGTCATTGTCAATGTCACTTTGTAGCCGCCAAATTGAAAATCCTCCTTAAAAGACTCTTCCAATTATTTCAGAACTGTTGAACAAGCGACCAACTTCAGTTTGAGCACAACAAAATCTACTTTTTCAGTTGAAAGATTACTTGATATGAGTTAAAAACGCGGTATTGATTGACACTTCTGATCCCTGTCATTGACATTTAGTCTGTTAGCTGTTCTATTCCATTTTCTCAACTCAAAAGGTCGGCTGACAGTTCTGAGCTCCGATGTTAACCAAACGTCTGCCTATCAATGACAATGTCAGTGTCAGTTTTACAAGACAAAGCGCGTGCTTTAAAAAATCGAAACTCTGAACGTAAGATAACTAAAAATTACGAACGTAGACTGGAAAAAATTTAAATCGCTGAATAAATGATAGTCGAGTCTCTAAAAGGGAAGCGAAGATGGTACTGCTGTTTCTATAGAATGAATGTCAATGTCATAATTTGACACGTATTCGTCTAGAAGATGGTGGAATATCAACCAAAACGACTCATTTGGACGACAACAAGTCGCGCTTAGAAGCCGGATGTTGGGATCGTAAAAGCATCTATTTCTATCCATTGTGACGACACTAAGTGGGTGGCATGATGCCCGCGCAAATTATTTTCCAAGCATCGAAGCTGAAGCAAAACATCAATTTTTTTCGATTAATTGGGCGACGCCGATTGATGAGGCTCGTGCCACATTTCCCAATAAATTTGTGTCAATCACGCAAAGACTTTAATGAAAACAAAATAGATAAGTTGGCTAGAGAGGCACCCGACGGGCGCCAAAATGTGATTTATATTGTGCAAGCTCGGGCCCGAAAACGCTAAAACCTTGAGGCTATTTTCTCATCGGGATGACGCGTTCGAAAAATGTGATTTTTCGCATGTTTTCCCACGAAAACAACCGGAAATGCTTGGCAGCCGAAAACCGATCGACTAGAACTGAAAGTACATTGTTTAAATTTGGTTGTACTTACTTGACATTGACAGGGGAAAGTGCGGTTATTTGTCCCAACAGAAGTACCAACTTCTTTATCAGTCAATTGCATTAACCGGGAATATACAGGGCCATCCACTCATAGATCTTATTGACGTTTTAAGTGTTAAGAGGTTATGGTTTTTAGTTTCTGAGCTGCACTCAGAGCGTTGGGCACAACTTGGCGCATGTGTCTCAACCGAAGTATAAATTGAGAAATGTTAAAGCACTCTTGAGCTGATCGGACAGGAAGTCAGAAAACACTATTTTCTGCTTGGACCCATTGAGGATTTTTTATGAAACTGCATATTAACCAAAGTTCACTCAAGTTCAAGCTGTGTCTAATGTGATCCATCGCTAATCACAGCGCAGTCGGTTAAAATAATTATAACTCCTAAACCAAAGTAAGCAGCGGTTTCAAATTTTCATATATCAGACAAGAGGTATCGAGCTCCGAACTCACCAAATCTGACTCAAATCCAAGAACCTCCTGATTTTTAATGTACCTCCAACCCCTCCAAACTTTGTTGCGAGTCATCAGTAATCACTTGCAACTCTAAAAGAAAAATGTTCTAGTTCCTATACGATTGAATGTAGCAGCTTGAAATTTTTATAAAGGAGGGAAGATTCATCAAGGTTCAAACTGGATGGAGTCTCATTCAACTACATGACCCTCTTGTTTTTTATGTACGAAAAATTCTTCCTCTCAGGCATATGAAAGTAGCAACTTGAAATTTTAACGTAGTGGAAAAGGCATCAAAATTCACTCAAATACTTGTTTATGTACTATCAAATGTTGTCTAATGAGGATCAGTAATTGTTGCTAACTTAAATGAAAAAACTCTCAAATAAATCAAGGCAGCAACTTGTAACTCTGACACAGTGATAAACAAGCATCTGGCTCCAAGCTTCACGAAGTTCCTCTAAAAAATTATCACTTCCGAACCAGTGAAACAGCACTGGAGCTTTGGGAGACTCGAAAATTGATATTGAGGTCCAAATCAACTGAGTTTTACTCAAATCCAGACTCCGGCTGATTTGTGAGGCACACAGTGAAAATTGCCTAACTCCCAAAGCAATGAAAGAAGCAACTTGAAATTTTCACACCTTAGAGGGTTGGGAACAGCCTCCAAACTACTCAAAACTTTCAGTCAAATCCCAATCTCTGCTGATTTTTCAGATAAAGTTGCAAACAGAGCAGACATGAAACTGAGACCATTGGAGTAAAATATTGAACTCAACCCAGACTATACAGAGCGTTCCTCATAGAGATCCGCCGAGTTAATGGGTCATTTAATCAAAATATGTTATTGATGCGACTGTTTACAAAATGAGCAAAAGCTCACTTTGAGAATTCAGGCCATCAGAAATTGTTTGTTTTAACATTCGGGCTTCGCTTGCCAAATTTTTCAGATATAAACAGAAGTATTTATGTTGTAGATGCATTAACGTCACAGACGAAATATTTTTAAGTGAAAGCAACGTATTATTAGAGCTGTTGTCCATATAGGCAAGTATAAATCGACACAAAACGTTTGACTTTTTTTCGATTTGTTTTCGTTGTTGTTTTAAGAATGGAGAACCCGGTGACTGCTTCCTTAGGTTAAGTTTTTCTACGTTTTTTAGCTAGAGTTAAATTGGGCTCTAGCCCAGCTAGTTTTATACGAACATTTGTATTCTTTGTACGTGCCAAAATAAACGTTACGGATAATCTTGGATTTGCTTTTGATCACGTTTTACGCTAAAAAAAATTGTGGTCATTTTCGTGAACGCATATAATAAATAAAAATCTTAAGGTTAGAACACTCAGTATAGTCGCAAGATATACAAGAGTTGAACGTAAATATACAGTAAAGTCTGCTTATAATGAACCCGGTTATAGTGAACTTTCGGTTAAAACGAATTTTTTTCCTTTAATTGAAACGTCGTCCATAAAGACCAACGTATTGTTTTACTGGTTATAACCGGGTTCGTTTATAACGAACTTCCGGATATAACGATCACTTTTTAGGTTAGTTGTATATTCACTTTCCGTTTATAACGAACTTCCACGCTCAGCAACACGAATCGTGCGGAGTTGTTTATATTAGTGAGAGTTATAGAATGGAAGAATGTAAATCGTTTTAGAATGGAAAGACAAAAACGCAAAGCTTTTTCACTAAATGAAAAATACGAGATTATTAACAAAATAAAAAGTGGAGTAAAGCAGAGTGACATTTGTAAGGAATTAGCACTTGGAAAGTCTACTGTTGCAACAATATGGAAAAACACAGAAAACATTTTATCAGCGTCTGACAAAACAAATGTTAGATGTAGGAAGTTAAAATTATCTGCACATGAAAAGGTTGACAAGGGACCTATTAAGTGGTTTACTCAAAAAAGACAAGAAAACGTTCCCATAAGTGGCAGTGTTTTGCAAGAAAATACTAGTGAAATGGGGAGCAAAATAAAAAACAAATAGTTTGGAAGAGCGTTTCAAGAAGAGGCATAATATCAGTAGGGGAAAAATTGTTGGAGAGTCTGCCGGTGAAAAATTCTTCTTATGAAAACGTTAGAGGCGATCGATAAAAATGAAACATTTTCTATAAATCTCTTAGATGCAGATAATTTCATTCATAGAGCTTGGCAAAAAGTTAGACGAAAAACAATTGAAAATTTCTTTAAGCATGGGGGATTTGTAAGAAAAGAAAATGATTATGAACCAGACGATGAAAGTCCACTTAACGAATGGTTAGAAAAGTATAAAGAATTTGACTACGAGTATGACACAGATGAAGATGTCCCAATGTTGTCGAAGAACAAGTTAAAACCAAACTGCGTGATTTCAATTTCTTCGAATATGTGAGCATTCTTACAAGAGAAATGTTGACCGATGAGAAAATTATAGACTCCGTAACCTCATCTACAGCTTTAAGCGATAATAAGAAAAATGACGATTTATGTGAAACGTATTCTACTGTAGACACTAATGCTGTTCCAACCATTTCTGAAATGACAAAAAAAGTTTCAGAAACTCGGAATTTTCTACAATCACGCCAAGTTCCACGCCAAGGGCTGCTGATCTGCAGAATTTCCGAAACTCTTCGCCCGGACGGCATGAAATCCCACAAAACTAAAAGTTTCAGTTACTGTTGATGCCTAACTGTCGTGGAATGATCTTGACGTTTTGCAAGCACGAGTCGGGTGCATCTTCACGAGTGGCACTTGCGCCGAGCAAACCAGTCTCAAGCAATGGCCTACAAGTTTTGTGTTTAGCAGCTAGCTTTTGTGGACACTTTGTATAATTTGTAAGTGGCAAATGATCCGCAATGTATAATCAAAGCTTTACCAAATCATCAAAGCCCGACAAAAACCTCAAACGCCACATTGACACGCCTCAAAACTTTGGACAATTTCACTCAAAATTCCCGTAGCAGATGGCTTCGTTCTTCCATCGCAGCGACTCGCTGGATTCGATCAGTCCGGGCACCCGTGGGTCCCTGCAACCAGCCCCTTAACAGAACATTCACGGGATTTCTGGTTTCAGGCTGGTGTCCGATTGTGTTGGAGTGGATTGCCACCCTCAAATCCGAACTGATGGAAGAGATCCACAACATTGAACAGTTCGTCATCAATCTGCATAACATCTATGCGTTCGCTTGCCAGGTAACATCCTATGGTCTGAAATCTCGCGAGTCATTTAGGGCCAAATCGTCGTTCCAGATCAGCTTTTTTCTGCTCTGCGAGCAGCGGATGTATCGTCCGGACTCTTCGAGTCTATCGCCGGACAAGGACATTGTCCTGGCCTTGACCACCGTGCTGTTCTACTCGGTGTTGGGGTACTTTGCCACTCGAGTGCGCGATATCTACCAAGGCAGCCGGAACCGGGTAGTCGTTGGAACGCCTTCCTTGACCAACTACCTGAAGTGGCTCTGCAAGATCATTCTGGAATGGGCCAAAGCGGTGGTTGCCGTCCTTTGTCTCAGAGAGCAGGGCATTCAGTACGAACCCAAACTCGCCTACAGTCTGATCACCTCCATCTACTATCTCTGCACTGAGAAAATCTTCATGGAGATCTTCTCCCAGCTGGTGGAGGCTCTGAAGATCGACAAGCTGGAGAATCTGGAGCACCTCTACGTGCCCCTTCTCATGAACGCAGTTGCCATCGCTGCAGGGATAGTTGTGGGGCTCTACAGCCTCTACTTCAACTACTCCAACTTGATCCTGCTCAGTCTGTACTTCACGGTCTATCTGCGCATCAAGGACGCCTACTACAACTACTGGGAGCTGCTGATTACTGAGCGCGACACCTACTCAAATTTCCAGGTGGCCACGAGCAAAGACATCGAGGATTGGGACGATATTTGCGCCGTATGCCTCAACAACATGTCCAAGGCGCGCATCACGCCCTGCAATCATCTCTTCCATCCCTACTGCTTGAAACGGTGTCTGCGCCATTCGTTTTACTGCCCTCTGTGCAAGCACGATTTTTTGGAAAATAGGATCTACATCAAATAAACACCTGTGCTCAGTTTGGATCAAATTATTATTAACATAAAACCGAAGATGAGTGTTACACATTAGACCCTTATTGTCTGACTAGAGCTCAGAATGTCCAGAAGCCTCAACCTTGGATGGATTCAGTGTAAACCATCCAATGAGAGAAACAATGGAAACTACACCGTATTAAAGATCTACAGCCTTCACATAATCTACAGGGTGTCACAAACAATCATGGCAGGACCTGCCCAAACTCAACTAACCTTTTGCGCCATTTCCAATACAAGAATCGTATAAAGGGTCAGGAATTCATATCGCCAGTAGATTTTAGATGACCATAACTATTGGGCCGCTCTGTATACCAATTGGTAAATCAGTATACAGGGTGACCAAAATATTATGGTTATTTTAACCTAGGACAGGGTGATCCAAACTTGACGCCCAAGATCCACTGTGATTAAACGAAAACGAAAATGCTCTAAAGCTTGTTTCTTATGGGTCCGGAATATTTTGTGGACTACCATTACTACGCGCGGAAAAATTCACGCAATTCACATATATCCGGATTATTTTTCCGCATTCCGCCGACAGTGTTGGCATATCTTTCGGGAAGCGAGAAACGATACCACTCTTGTTTCTACATGTTTTCTTGCCAGTATTTTGAGGCGCATGAAATGAACGTTCGAAACCAAAAGTTAAATCTAGTTTTGTCTTTGTACGTTCCAAAAAGAAGGAAACAAACACATCAAAATGAAAGACGGTCGAATAGACGCCGCTGAATTTAACCTTTCACTGGAGCATCACTGGAGATAACCTAGGTTTTCACATTCTTCCGCACGCCATGCGGAAAATATTACAATTTGGGAACTTCTGCGAATGGGCGGAGCTAACGCATCCGGCAAACTTCTGATTGGTCGGAAGGTTTTCCGCATTCCGCATTCCGGACTCATGAGAACCCAGCTTTTGGGGCTTTTCTTCCATAACAATCACAGGAAACATACGCAGAAAAATCAGATCAACTGCATTGAACTGCCCTAATATACAGGGTGTTCCGTAAATACGTTAAAATATTATAGCAGCGTGTTCTTCTAGTCATTTAAGAAGGGGGTCTTCCTGAAAATATTTTAACTTTGAGGCTTCGTTGTTGAGTTATTTGATTTCCAAAATGGCAAAAAATATTAGTTTTTGTTGTTTTCCTTTAAAACGGTTACACAGAAACTTCAATTTTGGTATACTTTATAAGCTAATTGAGTGGCATTTTATGATAGTGTTTCGTGGTTCAGTTTGCTTTTATACAGGGCAGAAATGTGGAACCGCTACTTTTGTTTTGTTCAGAACTTTTTTGTGCGCACTTAAACTTTTCTCGACATAATCTTGTTAATTACTACAAGCTATTTACCAACTTTTTTACTCTTATTGTTTTTTCATAAGACCACTAGTTTGCCCGCAAAAACATAAAATCGTTTTCTTTGTCGTTCTCAAAATGTGTAAGTAATTAAGTTCCTTTTTGTAAATCTAATAACGTTTTCATATAACAATTTTGGTACGCATTATTAGTTGATTCCTAACAACCTAAATTGTTTTTCTAAATTGTGTATTTTCGTTCAGATTACAATTATTAAGTTTGAATAAATTTTACTTAAATAAAAACATAGTAACAATATGCGCAACGATATAAACGAACAGAATTAAATTTAAATAACCATTCTAATGTTACCTTAGCAGCAGTCTTTTAAGCGTCTCTCTAAGCTTAAAGTTTGCACTGAAGTTCTTATTTCGTTAGAAATATTAAATATTATTTCCTAAAGTTATTCGATTGCATTCACTTCTGTTGAATACACCGTATTTTTTAAATGGCCCCAGAAGTAAAAATCAAGGAGCTTCTTGACCTCTACCAATCCAACGGCCTGGAAAGTTTTGATTAAGCCGAAACTATTTAATTGTTTTGCGGGCAAACCAGTGTCCTTAACCTAAAATAATAAGAGATAAAAAAGTTGATAAACAACTCGTGGCAATTAAAAAAATTATCTTGATAAAAGTTTAAGTGCACACAAAAAAGTTCTGAACAAAACAAAAGTAGGAGTTCCACATTTCTACCCTGTATAAAAGTAAAGTGAACTACAAAATAGTACCATAGAATGGGACTCAATTAGCTTATAATGTGTACCAAAATTGAAGTTTCCAATATTTAACCGTTTTAAAGAAAAACAACAAAAACTAATATTTTTGGCCATTTTGGAGATCAAATACAGTTGAGTCCGAATATAACGAACTTGAAAAATGAACTAAAACTGGTTCGTTATATCCGGAGTTCGCTATAAGCGAATAATATATAAAAACACGTGGTGTATTTTATTTCGTTAGTTTTACATAGAGTAGTAGAAGTTAGTCGGAATAACTAAAAAGAACACAAAAAGATAAACAGAACACAATTTGAAATCTACTTCACAAAGTCTGTAATTTTTGTTTGTACATTTCTGCTGCAAAAATAGATGTTATTTACGTAGTTTTCTAGATCACAAAATGACTCCCAGATATGATTAGGAACTTGGCGTGATTGTAGAAAATTCCTAGTTTCTGACACTTTTTTGCCATTTGAGAAATGGTTGGAACAGCATTAGTATCTACAGTAGAATCAGTTTCACCTAAATCGTCATCTTCCTCATTATCGCTTAAAGATGTAGATGAGGTTACGGAGTCTATAACTTGCTCATCGGCCAACATTTCTCTTGTAAGAATGCCATTATCAATGATCACATATTCGAAGAAATTGAAATCACGCAATTTGGTTTTAACTTGTTCTTCGACAAAATTGGGCACATCTTCATCTGAGTCATACTCGTAGTCAGGGTCTTATATTAAGTGGAATTTCATCGTCTGGTTAATAATCATTGTCTTTTCTTACAAATCCACCATGCTTAAAGAAATTTGCAATGGTTTTTCGACTAACTTTTTGCCAAGCTCTATGAATGAAATTAACTGCATCTAAGAGATTTATAGAAAATGTTTCATTTTTATCGATCGCCTCTAACATTTTCATACGAAGAATTTTCCTATAATGACTTCAGGGAATGTATTACTCCTTGATCCATAGGTTGGAGCTTCGCACTTGTGTTCTACTGATATTATGTCTCTTCTTGAAACTCTCTACCCAACTTCTAGAACAAACAAACTCTTTGTTTTTGATTTTACTCCCAATTTCACTAGCCTTTTCTTGCAAAACACTGCCACTTATGGGAACGTTTTCTTGTCTTTTTTGAGTAAACCACTTAATAAGTCCCTTGTCAACCTTCATGTGCAGATAATTTTAACTTCTTACATCTAACATTTGCTTTGTCATACGCTGATAAAATGTTTTCTCTGTTTTTCCATATTGTTGCAACAGTAGACTTCCCAAGTGCTAATTCCATACAAATGCCACTCTGCTTTACTCCACTTTTTACTTTGTTAATAATCTCGTACTTTTCATTTAGTGAAAAAGCTTTGCATTTTTGTTTTTCCATTCTAAAACGATTTACAAACATAACGCGGCAAAAAACAACAAGTCACTGCCTGTCTCTAGCTCTCACTAATATAAACAACTCCGCACAATTCGTGTTGCTGAGCGTGGAAGTTCGTTATAAACGGAAAGTAACTATACAACTAACCTAAAAAGTGATCGTTATAAACGGGTTCGTTATAAACAGTAAAAAATGCGTTGGCCATTATGGACGACGTTTCAATTAAAAGAGAAAAGTTTGTTTTAACCGAAAGTTCACTACAACCGGGTTCATTATAAGCGGACTTTACTGTATCTCAAAAATGAGACCTCAATCTAAAAAAAATATCAGGAATACCCCCCTCTAAAATGACTAGAACACGCTGTTAAAATATTTAAACATATTTACGGAACACCCTGTCCATATACAGGGTGTTTCTCAATTTGAGTTAAAAAACACTCTCGCAACCGAAAGAGATTTGATTGACCTGTTTGGGTTAAATGCCTACTACTGGAACTTGAAACACCCGCTATACAGAGTGTGCTCATAAAGTTGGCTCGGGCAACATTTCCAAGCCATTAAACTACCATACTTTGCCTCGGGCCATCCTTCTGAGGACACCCCGTAGAATAAAATCGAAGATATATCACAAGTGGCCCTACAACAGGGCCTTACATATCCTTCAAAGAAATGACCGACCATCCCAGAACCCTTCTATCGAACCCGCACGTGTACAAATTGACGCCACTGAGCATCTCGTCTGACCAGGCCGTGCAAGCAACCATCCGGTTGTGGCCTTGGCGACTAGATCTGGGCAATCTAGCCAACCTGCAAGGAAAACGCCGTCAACTTCCCAGCCCTCTAATCCCTCAAAACCTCCTACCTCACTCCTGATAGATCGTACAGGCGAATATGGCGGTTATCGTGAGGAATTGCAATCACGCCATTGGCCGAGACCGAGAGGCGATTAACCGCCGAGTCCACTCGGATGGTGGCCACTGGGGATCTCATATTCCGGAGATCCCACACTTTGACGCTGCGGTCGTCTGAGCTGGACACCACTTTGTCCTCCCGCGCAAATACCGACGAAGTGACGCTTCTGCAAAACCACACTTACCGTATGGGGACGACTTTTGGAGCGCACATTCTCCACTTACTCGGTATGCCCCTGAAACACCGACACAGCATGGACCGCTTCCCGGAAGTCCCACAGGCGAAACGTGGTGTCTCTGGACGAAGTCACCGCCAATTTCTGTGTTGGATGGCTGGCGGTGTGCGTCAACTCTTGATCGTGTCCTGGAAAACCACACAGTAACCTTCAGTCTGCCCAAAAAACGCTGGCTTCGGAATACTCCTTATGTACAAAGTATTGTTGTAGAAATGGACGTAACCAAATTACTGATTAAATATCCCTACAGCCAAGCTGGAAATGTACGTGTGAAACACTCGAATTGGACAAATGTAGCAGCAGCAACTTATTTTATTCTGGTAAGAAATTTGACCCCCAACCAAGGCATTTTTTCCTTTAAATAGCAAAAAGGATTTCAATAGCGCACCATACACGAGCGAAATATCTGTCATATCTGAGCCAAATTCGAAGAAATATCGGTCCGTTAATAGCGCCCCATACACGGGCAGATTACCCGTACAGTTCAGATACGTAGAGATTTGATTCGACAGATCCAGATCGGACGAATTAAATCTTTCCCTGCCAACTAATTAACATACCAAGCACGAGTGGCGATTCTTCCAATGGGATTGGAGGTATCAGATCCGTCCGTAAGTGGAGTGAAATCTTACGTTTCAGACAGACTTGATCTGGCGCGTGGTATTTCAAGTGAGCTAAAAGATTTGGTCGTGGCAGAGCAGATTAGTTAAACTAAGTGTTTAAAATGCGAAGCAAGAAACGGATAGCTATTGCTTGTGCTGGCATCATAGTGTTTTCAGAAAATCTACTCAAAAAAAATGAAAATAAAGTGAGTAGACCGGAGACTATAGACTGGAAGGGCGTCGGCAGCCATAGGGAAAAATGAGGCAAAAAAAATTAAAAATCGAATGCACGCTGGGATTTTTTTTTATAAACACGTTGTTATTAAAACAATTAAATACATAATTATAGAAAAACAAACAAACGATACAAACCGAACTAATTAAAACCAACGTTAAAAAGGCAAATTGATCTACCACTTTCTTAGTGAAATACTGCAAATTCTGAGAAA